AGTCAAGTTTTTTTTTTCTTTTTTTCTATCGATGAATTTGAACTCTCACTCTCTCTGATCCATATAATCTCATCCATCAGTTCACCGCATTGGCAGTACCCTCCGTTCTTTTAACATAGGAATAGTTAAAAGAGATGGAATTTGATGTTAGTTGGGAAGAATTTAACGCCAGCTGGGATATGTACCTGATGTTCCGGATGTCAGTTTGTTCAGTGCTACCAATTTAAGATCGATTTGATTCTCAAGCAAACGAGCCCGGCGCCGTAAATCTGTAAGCAAACAGAATAATACGACTGCGGCGTATGCCCACCGTTGCATGCTTATAAATCAATTCTTATTTAAAACACCATTTTTCTGATCAGCCAAGCAGTATAGCTTTTTCCAATATCACTTATTACCCTTTAGTGCGCACTAGCTGGTACCAATAATTTGAGCACTTAAAAGTGGAAGTCCAAAGGATCAAACTGTTACCAGACGAGGTCCAACTGTGGTAATGGTAAGAAATGTATACGACTTAATGGATCGAAACATTTTTTACCTGATTTATTACTTCTTTTTACATCTTCCCCTTTTTTACTCTTATTACTCCTTTTAGACTTTTTCTATCATCTACTTCTACAATTTCTAACAAAATTTCCAGTTAACCTTAAATTAAATAGTAAGAATGATTTTATGGAGAATATTAGGCATGCAGATGCTTTTTCTTATGAAACTCTTTTAAAATAATGAAAATTCAAAAAAGAAAGAAAAGAAAAGAAACTTCACCTTCCCAGACTTCCACCATCGCTCTCGGGCGCCTAAAAAGAATACGTGATTATGCAATTCTTTGCCACGTTCCTTCCCCCCTTATTTCAACTTTTTTCTAAATTATTTACGGGGCGCACTAGGTCAGACCATGCAATTATACGTTTTTGGAGTATTTCGTGCTGCAGTAAGATCGCTTGGAATGCCAGTAGCTAAAATTTGTGACATACTGGTCTTCGAAGTTCAGGAAATTAATTGTGCAACTACGTGGTATAGTTGGAAAGGAAACATTCTGCCAAAATTTCAGCCTCCCAGTTTTTCTGGTTATTCCGCCAAAAATTTCACGTGGTTGTGCGTGGGGTCCAGAGGTGCGTGAGGGTTGTTACTGCGGTCCTGCTGCGGCACTTGGTCAGGGAACCCACTGGCAAAATTTTAACGCAGGAGCATGTTTAGTTGCTGAGTTGAAATACCCGGACAGACAAACACACACACACACACACCATAATTCGTCCCAATATGAGTTTTCGCATTTGCATATATGTCACAATGCATAATAAATGGCAACGCGCACCAGACTAGCCGGTGCGATCATGCGTTTTGTGCAATTCAGC